TGTGGCATATGCTAATGAGTTATGCTAATGAGTTCCCCTAGCTCTTTTTCTACGAAATGACCCCTGGGGTTAAGAACATAAGGACATAAGAGATGCCAATGTTGGATCAGGCCAAAGGCCCATCCAGTTCAACACTCTCCATCACACAGTGGCCAGAAATACCAGTGCCATCAGGAGGTCCACCAGTGGGGCCAGGTCATTAGAAGCCCTCCCACTGTTGACCCACCCCCTTTGCGGTGCTTATATCTATTTCAAAGCCAAAGAGCCAGCACTGTCCAAAGACATTTCCGTGGTCATGTGGCCGGCATGACTAAACGCCAAGGTGCACGGAATGCCGTTACCTTCCCACCAAAGCAGTACCTATTTACCTACTTGCAATTTCTTGCTTTCGAATTGCTAGATTGGCAGGAGCTGGAACTAGAGACGGGAGCTCACTCCGTCATGCGGCACTCGGGTCTCGAACTGCTGAACTACCAACCTTCCAGCCTACAGTTCAGCGTCTTAACCGCTTGAGCCACCGCAGCTCCTGTAAAGTAGGATACTGCTACCTAAAAACCCTAAATATGGCCGCTCTGTAACACAGGAAGCCCCGCTCAGCAGCAATCTGGAGCCACGCAGGGTCTTGCTCTGCCCGTTGCCAATTTTAAGATTATTCAGTTCTATTCCGCTCAGGATGTGAACTGCTCTGCTCAGTAGGGGGAAGAAATTAGAGGGAACATTGCGAAGGTATATGTTCTACCACCACCAAGCTCAGTCCTCTCGGTTTCCTATGAACTTGTCAGAATACTGTCTATTTAAGGCACCCTCGGGTGCCAGGAAGATGCTGTCCTACTGAGCTACAGCCCGTCCCAGACATTGAGTGGTTGGCTCCACCTCATGCGGCAGCCATTTTGTAGCTGTGCCCACCACCCTGCTGTAGAATTCCAAAGGTGCCCATAGGCTCAAAATGTTTGGGAGTCCCGATTTTATTATTATTGGGAGCACCGATATTTTATTAATTGTATTATGTGGTATATTGTATTGTATTTTATTGTTTCTATTGTTTTTATTGGCATTTATGCCCTTGTTAGCCGCCATGAGCCTTCGGGGAAGGCAGGATACAAATTTAAAGAATAAATAAATAAATAAATAAAATAGTATAGTTCATACAATAGTGCCTTGTTCTGATCAGCAGCAGCCAATTGGGGTCACAGGGAGAGATGTATTGCTGCTTGAGATCTCAGGGATTGAACCTGAGACTTTCTGCATGCAAAACAGGTACTCTACCACTGAGCCACGCCCTCTCTCTGCTATCTACATATGCTTGTACTTCATCTGCTACCTTACGGGCTAGAGTTTGATGAAGCTGTTAAGGCAATGGGTGTGCAGCCTCCTGCACTACTTCCAGTCACTGGACTGGGGCCTTGTTCATTTCAATGTGAGTTCATCTTCTGAGAATCGTGCAGCAATTGCCAAATGGAGCACTAAAAACCAAGTATCTCACAGCAGAATTGTGACCACACTATTTTCTATCAGCCTGGTCAAAAGTGGGGGGGCATAAATCCACAGGGTGATTCTCTTAACTTTATTTTCCCTGCAGAGAGTCACATTTCTGCCCTCCTCAATACATTCACGTTGAATTGCCAGTTATTGACATCAAATTTTAAAATATTAAAATAATGATGGCTGATAGCAGTACTGAAACATCTTGATAATAAAACCATCCTACTGATCTATATCAGTAAGGGATATGTTGACTATTCAGATATTTTTGTATGTGGTATCCGGCTGGTTTCGGGAGAGGGTTCTTGGCTGTTATTTCTTCTTCAGAATTTTCCTCTTCTGTAATCTTCAAACAGTGTGTTTCTTTCGGCAACTTTTGTGTACCATTAAAGAGCCATGGACACCAATGTGCAAAGAGTTTTATTCATATGTGACATTTTGCAAGACATACATACATACGCACGCCACACACTCAATTGCCTGGCAACTGGACCCCATTTTAAATATGATGAACATAAGAGCCCTGCTAGAACAGACCAATAGTCCATCTAGTCCAGTGTTACACAGTGGCTAATCACTTGCCCTGGATGGCTAATAAACAGGGCAAAGGGGCCCCGAACAACTTGGAGCACTTTCACCGGCGTCTCTCCCTCTCCTCCCCCCCCCCAAGTCGGCCGGCCCTGCTGCTGGGACCCAGCTGGGAGGTTTTCAGGCCCCACCGGGAGGTTGGCATCTGAGGGGGGCACCACGAGGCAGCCTAGCCTAGGGCGCAGAAACCCCTCGGGCCAGCCCTGGGGATGGGATTTGGCCCAGCTAACAACTAAATATCAAATGAAATTATATGTAACAAGCGGAGGACCTGCAAGGACTCACTTTCCGCTTCAACCCTATTTCCTTTTCCCCTTCCCTGAAAGCCCCCATAGCCTCTTGCTTTTTCCTCTCATTCCCACCCACCAACCAACCTATCCTTATCTACCTGTTCTGTTTTCAGTTTTCCCTACTTCCCTACTCCTGGCAGCTCCTACCTAGGAAAAGCCTAGCCAAATTGCACAGTGCCATTTGATCGGCCAGGGCCAGTTGATGGTGTGGGGAACCCGCAAGAACTTGTGAGGGGCACCTCAGTTTCCTCTCTTTCCCCACTCTCTTTCCTCTTTCTCTCTCCTGGCTGCCCCCATATCCTCACCTTTCCCTCCATCTTTCTTTCTTTCCCACCCACCCACCTTTTAATCTTCTCCCCATCTTCAACTATACTTATTATTCACTTCATTTGTATTCCCCCATTCTCCCCAATGGGGACCCAAAGTGACATGGATCATTCTCCTCTGCCCTATTTTATTCTCACAACAACCCTGTGAAGTATGGTAGGTTGACAGTGTGTGAGTGGCCAAATGTCACCCACAAAACTTCCATGGCTGAATGGGGATTTGAATCTGGGTCTCCCAGATCCTAATGTGAAACTCCAAACCACTACACCATGCTGGCTTTTGTGGGGCGGCTGCTGCTCAGCAATAGTGATCAGCTGGGCCTAGATAAGTCATTGAACTCACATGGTATCAAGTTGCCTTCATTTGTAGAAAGATCTGTTTTGTCTTATGCATGGTTCTAATCTCTGGATTTAAGTACCCACAGATTTGACCATGTGAATTAGATAAATCGATGATGATATTCTGTTCTCTGCTTCTTTTCCCCTACAGGTTTTTTTAATACAAATAAGCCTAGAAGGTACCCAGAGGTCATTTCGGGGGGATTGTGGGGGATCGCAGTTCCCCCGGGTGAGGTACAGGGGGCGGGGGCCATGACGAAGCCCCGCCCCCTGCTTCCGGCTGCCCTGCTTCCGGCCCTCATTCAGCCAGGACGAGGCAGGAGAAGAGGAAGGGTAAGTTGCTTCCTCCCTGTCTCTCCCCACCCCTGCCTGCCTGGGGCCAGGGAGGGCCTTCGCGGGGCTTCCTTCCACTCCCGCCAGCCTTGCAGGTCCACCGCCGGGCCCCTCATGGGGCTCGGCAGTGGAGCTGCAAGGGCGGCGGTCGGGACCGTTGGGGGCGGGCTGTGTGGCCTTATGACACACTTCCGGTGATGTCAGGGGGTGTGGCATATGCTAATGAGTTATGCTAATGAGTTCCCCTAGCTCTTTTTCTACGAAACGACCCCTGAAGGTACCTACTGAGAATGGGAAGAGTAGTGAAAGAGGGGTTGCTTACTCCTGCTGTTTCCCCCACTCACTACTTGTTTCCCTACCTACAGCACAGGGTCTCCATATCTTTTCTCCTTTGGAGAGAAAACCACCTTAGGAAGGCAGAGTTGTTGTTGTTGTCGTCGTCAAACATGACAGGAAGGGAAAGGCTTAAACAGTCCCTTTCTCCTTTTATTCAGTGAGTAATTAAATTGTAGAACTCGCTGCCAGTGGAGGTAGCAGCCATGAGCATAAATAGCTAGAAAGATTCCGGGAGGAGAGGTCCATCAATGACTGTGCAAATGGTAATCAAAGGGAACCTTCATATTCAGAAATCGTAAACCTAAGAAACCCAATGCTAGGAGGTAACAACACAGGAGGACCTTGGTCTCTAAGCCCTGTTTGTTGGTCCTCTGGGGCAACCGGTTGACCATGTGTGAAACAGGATGCTGGACTAGACACAGCACTAGCTCAAAGAGGTAGAAAATTAGTAGACTAGATCAGAGAAGATGCTGTCTGGGTCACCTGACAAGGAGCAGGGCACCAAACCATCACTATCAAGCCATTCGTATTCACTGCATTTGTACCACCTTCTGCAAACATACACTCAGGGTAAATGGAGGCCAGACATGAGAATACTGGGCTGATGAACTAAGGAATGACTGGGAAATGGGAAGGAGGTGAGAAGAGGGACAACCCGACACCACATGTCCACCTGTGGCTTCTTCTTTCTCCAGAACCTATGCCAAGACCTGATTAAGGGTCCATGCTAAGACCAGCAACAGAGTAGTGATGAAGAAAGATAGTCCCATCCCCTCGGTCCTGCCAGTGCCTATATTCTTGACCTTGATGTTACCCTGGCTAGGCTGAATGAACTCCATATCGGGGATATGCCAATGAATCCAGTCCTGGTAGGCAGTCAGACGGATGTACACACCAGGTCGGTTCCTCTCGGCACAGCCTTCCCCCCAGCTCACAATACCGGCCAAGAGCCACTCCTTGTTCACCTTGCACATCAGTGGGCCACCAGAGTCACCCTATGGAGACACAAAGTTGTGAGAAGCCTGGACCCCTTGCTGAAGAAAACTAGATCTGTGTGCACTTTAAACTTACAAGGACAGGGGATCTTTCACCTTTTACTTTGACTCTGGCTGGAGGTTTCTATCACATCTACATGATCCTTGGTGGGGGGAAGCGTGAGCACCAGGGCTGCGATTTTAAGGGAGGGACCAATACTCATTGGAAAAGCAGTAAATATAGACGGTTTGGTGAGATGTATGACTGCTGACTCAGTTTATCCTGTCCGGAATGGTAGTTCAGTTTTACTACTTGATTTTAAACGTATTTGCGGGGCTATTTTTGGGCAGGAACGCACAGGGACGGAGTTCCAGCTGGCTCCCAAGTTGACCACACCCAGCAGGAACTCATTAGCATAATAGGCCACACCCAATAGCAGAAACTCATTAGGATTGGCTACATTTGGAGTGTGGCCTAACATGCAAAAGAGTTCCTGCTACAAAAAAAGCCCTGGGTTTTGACAACAAGCAAGGTAAACAGAATAAGAAGCAAAAGGTGGGTGTGGCTGGATGACCACACTTCTGGTAACACGGGGGTGTGGCCTAATATGCTAATGAACTATGCTCTCATGGGTGTGGCTGGATATGCTAATGAGTTTCTGTTTTGGGTGTGGCCTATTATGCTAATGAGTTCCTGATGGGCTTTTTCTACAAAAAAAGCCCTGCGTATTTGAAATCACCAATCATGTTTGGAATGTATGGTCATGTTGTTATTAGTAATCTAATTATTATGCAGTTTAATGCCAATGGGCTGAAAAATAAACCTGACTGTGTTTGTTTAAGTGCAATTTAATACCCAGAGAGGGAACTGCTCCCCTCACAACACATACACATTTCCTAAATGGCACCCCTAACTCATCATGATATTTTAACGGTTGGAAAGGACCCTGAAGAAACAACATGTGGAGCTTATAGGCCTCAGCAAAGCCCTAGCAACCACAACACCCATTTATAATACATGTTCCAGGTGATGGCAGCAATTCTAGGCCAAGAGTTTCAGAGGGCTATGGACAGCATGGGGGAAAGACCTCATCTGTGTGATCTGGGAGGGGAGAGGAGGCTAGATTTAGGGTTGCCAGGTCCTTACCTGGTTCATATTCACTGCATTTGTATCACCTTCTGCAAACATGCACTCAGGGTAAATGGAGGCCAGACATGAGAATACTGGGCTGATGAACTAAGGAATGACTGGGAAATGGGAAGGAGGTGAGAAGAGGGACAACCCGACACCACATGTCCACCTGTGGCTTCTTCTTTCTCCAGAACCTATGCCAAGACCTGATTAAGGGTCCATGCTAAGACCAGCAACAGAGTAGTGATGAAGAAAGATAGTCCCATCCCCTCGGTCCTGCCAGTGCCTATATTCTTGACCTTGATGTTACCCTGGCTAGGCTGAATGAACTCCATATCGGGGATATGCCAATGAATCCAGTCCTGGTAGGCAGTCAGACGGATGTACACACCAGGTCGGTCCCTCTCAGCAGGAGGTGAGAGGGAGCTTTCCAGGAGTGGAGGGCAGGGCAATGTCACTGCACGCAATGTCCCCAACATGATGATGCCACATGGAAGTGAAATCATCATGCCAGGGACATCATGTGGCAATGCTCTGGTTTGGGGGCAAACTCTATAGTAAAGTTGGGCTCAAATCATAGAGTTTTGCTCCCAAACCAGAGTGTGGCTGCATGACATCCCTTGCATGATGACACCACTTCAGTGTGACGTCATCACACTGAGGGCATTGTGCGGGGTCAAAGCTGTTGGGGGGGGCTTCCCCCGCCAGCCAGCTGGCCAGCAGCAGGCAAGAGCCACAAAATCAGGGGATCCCCCGCTCCCACCTAGGGACTGGCAACCCTAGGTAGACTGCTAGGGAAAATGGGCCTTGAGGAAGGCAACCTTTCACCTTGCATGTGTCCTTCATGCCCTCAGCATACCCAGCACACATCATGTCATCCTGGATGGTTTTTCGGGGCAAATTCTGGCCCATGTCGATGTTGTAGAGTCTCCGGCAGGTCCGGGTGTCTATTATGGGCACCAGGAGTTTTTGGAGCTTCTTTGGAGCTGGTAGATCCTCTGCAATGAAAAGCACATAGCAATGAGCAGGCAACAGGAGAAGATGTTCAGGAAAGGCACCAGTTTCTTTGCCAGTAAAAGGAGTGGGTGGTGGCAACATGGGGGGTCTCAAACTGGGGTTCCTGGCAGGCCCCTTATCTCACTTCAAGGGGCCACAGTACTAGCCCTGCTGCCTAACAACACTCAGTCAGGTGATCCCAAGGACTAATCCCTGTTTACCAGGCGTTATAAAGCCTTCAGAGACTGTTCTTCAGTCTGAGCAAAGCCTCGATGAGAAGACGTTACCTGCTCTTCTGCTTTTTAAATACTTGACCACATGTCTGCTTACCTTGCCTTCAGATCATCAGTTCCTGCCTTTCAGATATTCAACCAGTGACAGCTTTTGGATTATATCACCCTACAATTTGACTTTCAATTGCTAATTATACAACTTGACCCTTGCCTACCCAGGACTATGCTACTCACCTCACGCTCCACTGGACTGTCAGCAGGCCATTCCCAAAATCCCAAATCTGGCTTGTAGCCAGGCCCCAACATGACCTGACACTCTCTGAGTTATAGGCATGAGATGAAAAACACAAGAGCAGGATTCCAAGTCCACAGAAGGGAACCCAGAGCCCTATGTTTTGTACCTAGCTCTATAGTGGGTAGTATTTTTCAAGTTTCTATGCAAAAAGCATGTCCCTACTTTCATGCCATGGATGAATGGAATCTTTTCATTTTAGAATCAGAAAACACAGTTTTTCCAGTCTCACAAATGTCCTGTAAATGTCATAGGAAAGATGTACTCGATCCATGATAGGAATGTAGCAACATGCTTTTTGCTGTGCATAGGCACATCAGTCAGGTGTGCTCCCTTGGGACATACAGAGCTGTATAAAATCAAGTTTTCTGCAACTGAAAAGGGAGGAGGGTGTCCCCTTTGACCACCTAAAAATGGCTGTGCTGGGGGATTCTCATCTGAATGGAGAGAAAAAATGTATAACTCAAATTCTCCAACTTCTGGATTTTAAAGCTTAAAATTTCAGTTTTAAAATCCTATGCTCAAATTTTGAATTCAGCTTTCGGTGTACATGTTCACAATCTGGAGGGAGTTATTACAAGGGTTGTGCAAATCAATATGCACACAAAGCATTGGTAGGGAACCATTGCTTTAGACTGCTTTTTGTTATTTACCCTATTTATCCTACTTCATCACTTTACTTATCTGCTTGAACCTCTGACCGCTCTCATCATTAGGTGTAACTGTTTAGTCTGCTGATGGGATTCACACCTAACTTTTCCACCTCAACTCCTCCCTTTCCTTCTTACACAGAGAATTTACACTTGAAAGATTCATAATGGAATTCACACCAAAAATCTCTGCCTCAACCCCTCTCCCCCGACCCATGATCTTCCACACAAGAAGAATTTCCGGTATGTTCTTCCCTTCACAAAAGCTTATTCCATAATAAGTGTTTAAAGGTCCTGTACAACTCTTTGATGTTTTTGCTGCAACAGAAGAACACTGCTATCCTTCTATAATGATTCCATATTTTTAATGTGCAGGAGATTGATTACCTGCACACAAGAAGCACTAGGATTGGCTTCAAATATTGAGAAGCTAAGCATCCTTCCCCCTGCCCCCAGAGAAGGGAGCACAGCACTACTCATTTGCTCTCCTTTAAGCCCCATCAGCACCAGAAGGAATAAAAGAAACACAGCAAAGAGCCATATTTCCCTCTCTCCAAATACCTTTTCCCATATGGTAGGAGATTGTGCCAGTGTTACCTCTGACACTGCAGAGACTCTGCGGCCATCTCGCACTCCTGGTGTGAGTAGGTGGGCCAAACATCCCTGGCTGGTCCTCTACCAGACTGTGGGCTTTAGCAAATACCTCCCATGCCCAAGAAACAGCACAGACCAAAGCAGAATCCACTGAAATCACTGGGCTTAGATAGTTGTGATTTTGTTTAGAACCCACCCAATCAGAGGTTCAGTGGGGAGACTGAATCCTGAAGAATGACAAAGTCAGCAACTCACACAAACCAAATATTAACAAGACCTCTTCCCAAAAGACAAAAAAAAAGGGGAACAAGAGATTTGCCTGAGCCAGAGAACAGACAACAGGAAGAGCTAAAGCATACGGGCAGGATGAAAATTTGGTACCAGTCTTAGTCCATCTCCCCATACTTACGTCCCTCACTGATATCTCCCCAGCCTGTGACCCAGCACTTCATGCCTGGGGGAAAGTGCACATTGAATGCAGGCAGACAGATTGGTATGATGTAGTTGGTGAACCTGACTGGTTGAGCCAACCGCACCAAGGCGATGTCTCCGCTGGTGGCTTCTCCTGCATACCGGGGGTTTCGGATGATTTCTCCAACCCCAATAGAGAGCTCGTGGGGCCAGGAGTTCTCCAGTGTGCTGGCTCCCAACAACACGTTGAACTGGGATGGATTGCTGTTCCTGTAGGTGGATGGATGTGAAACTGCAATGAAGAACAGTGCTAAAATAATCTACAATCTGTTACATGGAATTAAGAGGGGACTGGATTTCATCAGGAGCAAGGATTTCGATGCAGGCAAGAAGACACCTTGAATTTGACAATGGAAAAGTGGACTATATTGTGTTGCAATCCCTGAGAGCACTGGGAGGGGTGGAGACTGTGACATCATTGTCACATCATGATGCCACTACATCACTTCAGGCCACATAACCACAAGTGACCTCACAATATCATGGAACACTCTAGGAATTTTCCAGATATCTACAGAGATTTTGGGGGAGGGGGATTTCTAGAGACTCACCCAATGTCAAGATATTGACAATGTCACAAAAATGACATTGTGGCATCATGCAATGCCAGTTCTTTCCCCCTCCCTTTTGTTCCCACAGCTCCACTGAGGTGGAGACCAGAGGTTGGGTTACCATATTCCTACTCCCATTGGGGATCCCCTGCTTTGAGCCTTGAACCACTGCCACCACTGGTAGTCTGGCAAAGGAAAATAAGTTTTAAAAAATCACTGTTGCACTGGCGGTATGATGGCATTTCCAGGGAAACCCGGAATCGGTGTTATGCCACTCTAGAATTCAGCAGAAACTCTCTGGTAAAGCCATAGAGTTCCCACTTAATTTTAGAACAGCATGGCAGCACTTTCAGGTTTGCCCCAGAAATGAATCGTGCCATTGGTGCAAGAGCACCCCCCCATGACCCTTCCCCTATCCTCTCATCAAGTGCCAGCCACTGTCTGGCAACCCTAGCAGAGCCTGTGGTGAGCATTGTTTTTCCAAAATGGAAGATCTAGCCACCCTAGTTGTGAAAGCAAGCAGAAGCAATCTAAGAAGCGCCTGTGCCCAACCAGGAGGTATTTATTCATCACAAACCTGTCTGGCAAATCCAAGCCTAAAACTTAAGTCGATGCAATGAAATAATCACATCCTTACCTAGCCTTCCAGTCTACCTGCTTCACTATATCCTTGAGATGTGACTGACTACGACGACTGGCTACTGTCTGAAACAGTGTAATATTAATAGAATCTACGTGCTAAAAAGCTGCAGATATCAGTAGTGCTGGCATAAAGCCTTCTGCCTTAAAGCGTTATTGCTGAACAATCCAGTAATACTCAACAGGTTACAGAACTAAATGAAGGGAGGTAACGTTGGGCATTTAGAGCTTCTCACTCCCAGTTCTTTTTTTAGTTCAAGAATACTCACTGTTGAAAACAGTGTGCAGCTGTCACAACCCAGTGATTGGAGATCAGGGCCCCTCCACACACATGCTTGTCCATCTTCCTCAAGCTGACCTGCCATGGCCATTCGCCTTCCAGAGAGTCTTCACCCCCCACATTCCTGTTGAAGGCAGTGGGTCGCCCACATACTACAGAAAGCGAGAACCAGAGGGGTTAAATTTCATACAGTATACTATCTGAATTTTATTTTAGGGTGCCTGTTTGTCTGTAAGGGATAGGGAATACTTAAGGCAGGGATACCCAAGCTTGGTGAGTCTGTGGTGCTTTGGGAATTTTGAGAAAGAGTAGTGGGTGCCAGCACAAAATGGCTACCATGGGGAGGACAATTACAAAATGTTCGGAAGTTCCAAGCCAAACGTTTTTCTATGGACCAAACTAAATCAGACAGTGACTCACGACAGCCGTGAGTTCACTGTCACCATTTTAAACTGCTGCAAGGCGGAGGCCCAATCCTGATTGAACCTATGGCATGGAGCTCTTCCCATCCCCACACACATATGGTTGTTTTGGCACTGGAAAAGGTGTGGGGTGGAGATAGCTCTGGACCACAGGCCCAGTCAGGATTGGTCCCTTGTGACATATCAAAATTGCTTTACAATGGTGAAGGCAAACTCATGATAGCCGCAGGTTTGCTGTCATGTTTAGTTTTGACCCTATGATGGGGCAGCTGTTTCCAAATGGACACTCACTACAGACCCAAAGGTGATGCCTTGGTGTGTGGGGGGGTGTCTTCTGAATCACTTCCTCCTGCAATATCACAGATGCAAGTCACACCTGACTCTTTGCTTTCAGGAGGAGGTGCTTTCGGTAAGAAATAAGTGGGTACAGGAAACATATTAGTGATAGGGTTGCCAAGTGCAATCTTCGCCGCAGCAGGGGACATAGAGTTTTCCCTCGGATGACCGTGGCCCCACCCCCAGCGTGCCCGGTGTGGTCACGTCACTTCCGGGTGACGTGCACGTCGGGGTGGGGTTCCCCCGGGGTCCGATCCGCCGGCGGCAGGGAACAGGCCTCTGGGCGGGGGTTTCCCCGCCCCCCAGTGGGACTTGGCAAGCCTAATTAGTGAGCCCACACTGGAGATGACTGACTTAAGAACCTGTTTGGGTTAAATGAAGACTCACCTTTTTGGGAACGAATTACTTGGTGATTACCTGTAATGGAAAAGGAAGAATCAGGGTGTGATCCACTGCAGTCCAGAAGAAATGCATGCAATCAATCTTTGTTAGTTGTTGTCACTGAATTATTATTCATTTGAGTTATACCAGAAGTTTATTTAGAAAAGGTATATGCTGGCTCCCCAGAGACCTGCTTGAGGCAGCTTACAGCTAAAAATATTAAAACACAACCTTTAAAAGGAAAGCCACTAAACAAGCTGATACCATTTAAAACAAGTCACTACAAAACAAGCCAATACAATTAAGCAGGGCTATTTGGGGCAGGAATGCACAGGAACGGAGTTCCGGCTGGCTTCAGAGTTTGCCACACCCACTACAGCCAAAACCTCTGCGTGCGTGGCTACCGAGGGAAGGCCTGGAGCAGGCCCGTAGGCCGCGTGGGGCCCTGGGGGCCCGGCCCCCTTGTGCGGCTTGCGGGCCCCCTCCCCCAATCCTCTGCTCCCCCCCCATGGAGGGTTTGGGGGGCATTTAAATTCCCTCCCCGTGCCTTCCCTGGCTTGGCCAAGGGCCAGCTTGCCCAGGCTCCTTGCAGCCACGAGGCGCCCGGGCAAGCCAAGGGAAGTCAGTTTAAACTGCCTTCCCTTCAAGGGGGGGGCTTGTTCAGGCTCCCCGCAGCTGCGGGGCACCCGGGCAAGTCAAGGGAAGACATGGGGTGTGGCCTAATATGCTAATGAGTTTCTGCTGTTGGATGTGGCCTATTATGCTAATGAGTTCCTGCTGGGCATTTTCTACAAAAAAAAGCCCTGCCATTAAGTCAAGGCCGGTCATAACAACAGCATAAAATACACATCAACCAGCCCAAAACTGTGTAGACAGAATGATCCTTGGGCAAGAAACAGACCAACAATATTCTCATTTTGATTTTGGGGTCAAAAGACAGTAGTAATTTCAATGAGAGAGAGATTTTTCCCAAAAGCATCTTGATTTTTTGAATTTTTTCCCCCAAGTTCTGTTTGATGCTATTTTTTCTCTTGGCTACCCCAGCTGCTTGGCTCATTTTTTTCATCTCTGGCAGGGGTTCTTCCTCAGTCACATGGCTGAGCCCAAACAATCCAGAAGCATGTAGTGAATAGGATAATGCTGCAACACTGCAACACTACAATAGCCAATCCACAACAAAGGAGGAGGAGGAGGAGGAGACTGGATTTGCACCCCACCCTTCATGTGGAGTCTCAGAGCGGCTTACAAACTCCTTTCCCTTTCCCTTCCCACCCCACAACAGACACCCTGTGAGGTGGAGCTGAGAGAGCTCTTTTGAGGACTGCTCTTGAGAGAACAGCTCTGACAGAACTATGGCTTGCCCAAGGTCATTCAGCAGCTGCAAGTGGGGGTAATCAAACCCAATTCTCCCAGATTACAGTCCACAGACTTAACCACTACACCAAACTGAGGGCTAGTGAAGGCAGTTATAAAGGAGGGTAATATTTCCTCAGCTACAGTGCAATCCTAAGAACACTTCCCTAAGAGTAAACCCCATCAAATAGACTTCAGTGGAATTCTGAGTAGACCTGTTCTGACTGCATTGTTCATCACATGGATGGTTTCATTCATGCATGAACTGTTCACAAGCTCCAGTAAACGCTTTCTAATCTACCTTGACTCCGAGTGAGAAAGGCAGACTATAAATAATGTAAATTAAATAAAACTTAATAAACACATGTTCAGTTTGCATATAATGTGCACTTGATTTTTCTCTATAACTGTGTTGAGTAATTTTCACGTTGTGTTCAACTCATGCCACTGAATGTGTGATTTCAACCTCACGTCCATCCAGGTCCTGGTCTCCGGTTTCATTTGTAAAATGAACATGCATTAGCTCTTTCTTACAAACAGGTAGACACATGTACATGCAGACAGCACATCTATCAATGTACCTGGAACTGAGCAAATTAGAAAAGTAGACAGGGGAGATAACCATGGAACACAGGGAAAAATAGTGAGGGAACAGCTACTAGAAGCAACTCTATAGAAAATGAGAGAGAGAGAGAGAGAGAGAGAGAGAGAGAGAGAGAGAGA